ACATCGAAAATATCCATAAAAAAAGTAAACACGCACACTGATAGGAAAGTTAGACCTGTATGAGTCGCTGCTCATCGTGCTAATGAACTGATGTGCATTATTCAAAATTTAGAGCACCATGATGTTGAATGGCTCGATGGGAGCGACGTAGACATTCCAAAATCCGATGAAAGCGAGCAAACTCACAACACTGAGCAGCAAACGAAGCAATCCAATGTCATCGAAAACTTAGAATCATGAATTCGGGTTTCATGGACTGAAGACTTAATTTGAATTTAATATATGTACCAAAAATTTAAAATAAGTTTATTATGTTAGTAAGATATAATATTTTTGTCCTTTATGATGAATACCGTATCAGTAAAATATAATCTCTATCCTAAATCTATTTTCTTATTTTTTTAATTATAATTATAACGTTATAATTATAATATTAAAAAAAAATAATACATTAGTTGACAAATGTTTACGTCAGCATGGGGGGAGGGGGTAAGAGCTTTGCTTACTTTTGCTGACAAGGGGGATGGGGAGGTAAATATTTGTAATAAATCTGCCTACGTAATACTTGAACGGCCGATTAACTGTCTCTATCAAAATGTTTAATTGTTTTAGATGTACATTTTCTACATAAATAATTACCTAGTCCAACTAAACAGTTAAATGAAAGAAGCAAATTAATTTAATAGTATATTACTTTCAATTAAACTGGTTCCAGAAAATTAAGTTTAAATAAGCCGAACAATTTAGTTACTTAGAATAATTAAAAAACTTATTACGGGTAATGAAAATTTTCCGGAAACAATTGAAGGGTCGGCCGGAACAATGTTGTATGTAACAAAACAGCTCAGTGGCCGAAATTAAGAAAAACAAATTTGAACCATTTTTTTCCAAATGACTGCGTCTATAGTTGACCAGCACAATAAAGGAACAATAGTTATACAAGGTTATTGTTATTTAAAAATGTGATACCTATTTTGCAGCTATGGGAAAACAAGTATTTTCAGCAGTTCTGTTTATTAAGGGAACCAAAGTACACAGCAACATATTTTTAATAACAAAAAAACACGTTCTAAGTTCATCAACCTGTTTCGAAACCAAAACTGAAACTTAAATAAATATTACTGGGTTGCAGTTAATTTCTCATAAAATGTTACATATACTAGGTGACATATAAATCCGAACACCCAGTTTAAATGGTTTTACTTTAATAAAATTTTGTATAAGTACTTAATGAAGCATAATATAGTCAACGCCAAACAAAGTGGCGTGCACGTCATCACGATAAAAATTCCCCGACCTAATGCCTAGGTTTCTATCACCAACAATTGCTCTATTGCAGTTTCATATTAATGTGATATATAAATTGTAAAATGGTCATTACTCTCTTATTATGGTTAATAGTCATATAAACATTGTTATTAAAATATCACATAAGTTGCTTTCTGATAAATTTAGACGCATTATGCGAAATAAAATGTTTTGCAAACGCTCCAATCACTTATCGACATGTAAACGCACTAAACCGATTTCGCAGCGTTGACACATTGTCACCTTGAAACTTATTTAAACTGGGAACTGACATTTGTATTAATTTTGACACTGAATCAATTTGTGGCATTTCAAATCTTTATAAATCCTTTGGCCCCGCATACTGTAAATCAACAACTGTTTGTTTCAAAACAAAATTATTCATTTTACGAGTAGATAAAGGCAATTTTGGTATATAAAGATGCCCAAACAGTTAAATAGTCGGTGTAAGGAACTCGTGGCCTTGTTAATGCACTACTTTGAGCAAGAAAGGGACAACAACGGGCCTTTGTTGCCTTTAAATGCTGTTCAAGAGGTAGGTTACTAATAATTATATGTAATGTATATTAATAATAGTGAAATTTTATTTCATTTTGTGGTAGCGTGTTGCTGCTGCTTTAAAAATTAGTTTAAGGACAGTTAGTCGTATTTCCGAGGGTGTGAAAAGTGATGCAAATTTAGAATCGCCCAAGAAAAAGCGGAGTTATATTAAACGTGTAACCAACACAGCGACATTGGATACAAGTGCCATTCGAGAAGTGATCTATAATATGTATCACAAAAGTAAGATCTTATTATAATAACTTATCAGAAATTTGCATTAATTTGTTAACTAAATTATAATGTCATATTACACATGGTTTCAGAAGAACAAGTTACGATACAAACTTTATGGTCTCGATTAAGAGATAGGGCATTATTTGATGGTAGTGCCACGTCTTTAAGGCGGTTGCTTAGAGATCTTGGATTTAAGTGGCTTAAGGACAATCCTCGACGAGGGCTCATGGAACTACCAAGTATAGCTTTGAAAAGGATGGAATTTCTAAGGCAATACAATCAAGCCAAGGTTGAGGCCTTATACCAGTTTGTCTTCCTCGATGAAACTTGGATATTTCAAAATGGGACCATAGGTCGCTCTTGGCAAAATGGAAACCAAAAAAGCGTGAAAGCTATTAAAACAGACAGTTTATATTTCTTTTGTTTATTCCTATTCTTAAAATAACTGCTTTTTTAGAAACAAACCACCTAAAATATACGTGATTGATGAATTGGCGGAACAACATGGGCACAAAGTTCTTCGTCTGCCTCCTTACCATTGTATATTTAACCCTATTGAGTTAATTTGGGGCATAGCAAAAGGTTACTATAACAGACATATTGGTAGAGATTGTAACAGTGAAAAAGACTGTTTGGATATGTGGAACGAGGCTCTACAAACGGTTACCCCAGACATGTGGAAAAATAGTGTTCGACATACTGAGCAAGAAATTTTTTAATGGTATGAAAGAGAACGAATTTTTGATCGACCAGACATCGAACCTTTAATAATCAACTTTGAGAGTGATGAAGATTCAGATTCAGACAGCGCTGAAGAAAGAAACTCCGACTAACTTTATTGTACAGAAAAAGCTTACACCAGTAGCTTACCTAATTTTAGAATGCATTTTTCTGTATGAATTCTGTAAAATAAATACCATGCATAAAATTTGGAGGACCCCATTTGGATTTTTATTCAGTACCTTTAAGCTATCAATTAAATATGGTAGTTTCATAGTGTCATCTGATCAATAATTGTCATACTTAATGATTATGCAAGTACAGATCTATAATTTTATTATACTATTATTTTTGTTCTCATTTGAGGTTAATATTGCTTATAAACCTAGATATGTAAATAATAAATTTTATTATTTTACAAAAAGATTGGCAACAATGTATATTTTTCAACACACCCACCTTGATGACGTGCACGCCACTTTGTTTGGCGTTGACTATAAGTAAATGATAAAAATTTCAAAATGATTGCACTGCTTTAAAGCCCTTTGACCTTTAATAATGTGTGGATGCACCCTGATGTGCTACGCATTCTCCAATGCGCCTAGGCATGCTTCTGATCAGGTGGTCAATGTCCTCCTGTGGTATCTCATTCCAGGCAACCACCAACTCCTCTCGAAGTGCTTCTAGAGTCTGAGGAGGACGTTGCAAATTGGCCATGGTAACAATGTGACATCAATATGTTGAAAGAAGCCTATTGTGACTCTTGCAACATGTGGTCGGGCATTATCTTGTTGGAAAGTTGGATCTGCCAGGGTGTCAAGATAGGGTAAAAGATGGGGTTCTAGAACTTCGTGGATATAACGCTGCGCGTTCATGTTACCTCTGATGAAGATTAAAGGTGACCTGGAACCATAAGTTATAGCACCCCAAACCATAACTCCAACAGAGTGATGAACATGTCTTTCAACAAAAAACTGTGGATTCCTCCTTTCACCACGTCGCCTTCTAACCCTGGCGCGACCATCGTGCATGCCTAAACAAAATCGAGACTCGTCACTAAAGACAATACTGTTCCATTCCTGATCCCAGAGTGACCGTTGTCTGCACCACTCAAGGTGATTACGTCGGTGTTCTCGAGTTAAAGGGAGGACCCAGTGTGGCCGGTATGAAAACAAGCCAAAACTTCTCATTCGTCGGTAAACACTTCGCATGCCAATAGGTATTCCGTGTTCTGCAAACCATTCATTTGCAATGGACCTGGTAGTGGAGAAACGATCCCTTAAGGCCAATAATCTTAGGCGGCGATCTTCACGGTCTGTTGTTCTACGGCGGCGTCCAGTGCCCCTTGCTCTTTGCGTACGGCCTTCTCGAAGCCATGCCTGACAACACCTAACCACAGTGTCTACACTTCTTTGGACTCTAACTGCAATTGCCCGAAAAGAAAGTCCAGCTTCCGGAAGTCCCACTATACGGCCCCTATCAAACTCACTAAGTTGACGAAATCGTACAGGTATCCGTACTATAGGCATCGTAGCCGATCGTAAAGGATGTCAAGAACCAAAATCCGCCAACGTTGATTCTTTACTGCGGCTGAAATATTCACTTTTAGAGCGTTAGTGAATTAAAAAAAAGCAGTATAAAAACCGGAATGTCCAACTGATAAGGCTGAACATTTTTTCACTTGTTATTTACAGTAAGATAAATACATTCACCAACTTTTATTAAAATAAAACCATTTAAACTGGGTGTACGGACTTATATGTCACTTAGTATACTTAAGCGGCATATAATCACTCATATCCTCAAGATTTTTTAATTTTTCATCTTTGATTGGAAGAAGGTTGTGATACATTATAGGTAATTTTTCAGATGATATGATTTCAGTGGCAAAAGTCATTGTGTCTTTTCTTTTACGATTGCTTATGGGAAATGAATTCCAGGGCTGCATAATATTTTGAGATTTTCTCATTCTCAAAGTAGCTGGAGAATCAGCGGTAAGTTGCAGCCAGAATCCTTGTGTAATTTTACATTTGGGGTATTTCCATATACAACATTCCAAAGCTGTGAAATTCTTAAAGAAGGCTTGGTGCATCCAGACAACTTTAAAAGGATTTTTAACTTTGGCTTTAGCGATGACATCGACCCACTGGAATGGTTCATAAACCATAGATATTCTTTTTTGCTTACGTACATACAACGTTTTTACGCGGAAGACTGAAATGGCGCGCTTTACAAATTCGCGTCACAGTGATTGATGCGAGTAAACTGGTGGGTCTATGTTGTCAACGGGTCCCAATAGGCAAATACTACGTTGTTTTACGGAAATCTCATTTTATAGAAAAATGTTATATATAACGTTGTTCCGGCCGACCCTTCAATTGCTGTTGTTGACCACGCTTTCTCAGTGTGATGGCCTACCACCTCCATTGCTGATGGCACTGGTACTGGCAACGCGCCAATTCTTCATCAGCTTTCGGTCAGTCCAGTTTCGCTCAGTTTGCGTCATCCTCGCTGCCTTCCATCATATACCCATAAAGAAATAACACATGTGTGTTCATCAAAGAGATAACATATAATTACTATTATTGCGCTATCAATGTGAAGTAATTCTGTGTCATAATTACGTACTTTGGACAATTTTTGTTAAGCGTATGATATGTTGAATATTTGAATCTTATCTTTATATATTCGTTGGTTTGGCATCAGTATTATATTTGTTGTGTTTTTGTGAATAGTTTTTTGTGAATTCTGGTTGTTTTTTTTAAAAGAAGAATGAAGGTACCAAGGCTCTTCGTGGACGCTTGCTTCTGTTTCAGCAAACACAATGTAAGGAAAACGGTTGCTTCTTTATTTTCTGAACTATCTTTCACATAAGGAATATTCAAATTTTGTACCTCAGATCCAGACTAGGTCGAGTCCAAATTAGTAGTTTTGAGATAATTGAATTTGAAATATTTTTCTTGTATTGTATCGTATGCGACTTGACATCGGTTAAAAAGTAACTTCCTTGCTACCACAGACAGATGGACGCTGCAAGTAGCTCATGAAAATTCACAATATTATCATAAGCTTGATATATTAAACTCAGTTTTGACAAAAATGGACTTAACCTAGTCTGGCTCTGGGGTACAGAATTACTTTTCGCATTATTGAATCACAGCAAACGATTGGGTTTTGAATGTTTTATATAACCTGTAACACTCTATAATGTGCCGTTGAAATAAGAGCTAAAAGCTACTAGCCCCTATTCTCGCTGATATCATATAGAGTAGAGAAACAGAAAAATATCTGCCACTTGTTGTTTGACGATATTATCGTGTGTGGTTTGGTGAAACATTTCTTCAAAGGGCGAAAAATAAAAAATGAAGTCAAACAAATCAGCAAAGCACCTCCTACGCATCGATATGAATTTATTCAATGTTCTTGTAACCGTTAATAAAATAAGTTAGAAATGCGATGCTTGAGCTTAAAATTATTTAATCCTACAAAAATATTTTCATAACGCAAGTGAAAAACGTATTATCAGGTTACAAACGTTAAAAACGAGTTTTTTTTTATAAAGTTGGACCGAACAAAGTTTTTTCAACTATGCCCAAAAATGTTCGATCTGGTGTTTGTCAATTTTCGCTGTCAAGTATGACAACCAAGGAGGCCATAAACGCGCCCTACAATTGTAGAGACGACTGACGATACGGGCCTTAGTCTCCTTTACAAGATGGCGTAGTCAAATCTTCAATTCGATATTTCTTTTTTCGACTTCCGTCACCAACGTTTCTTCATATCGACGCTGTATTGGATCTTGTAGATTTTTAAAAGGACTTTTCAGTCCTAAGTTCAAGAATGTATTGCCTTAGTTGGCCATGAACTTGTTGTTGCATGAAATTTATAATGAAATAAAAAGTACGGTGAAACCTGAATACACAATGGACATTTTATTGATGGTAATAACAATAATAATCATAAATTAGCAGACGTAAATCATAGCAGATGTTCAAAATGTTGTCCGTTATTTTGCACAGAGAAGCATTATTCGCTGCTCGATTTATTTATCTTCTTCCCAGCCGTCCAAACTCTGTTGCTATGTCCAATTTTAGTTCCGCACACAAGTGACATTAAGTCGATTTTTTTTGACATTATGGTGTGTTTTTTTGACATTATGTAGGTTTTTCGCCAAGACGTTAACTTAGCACTTAGTTGTACGTGTTGCCTAAACGTCAAGAGGCTTGTTATCAGTCTTTGCCTCTGATGTGATGTAAAATCTGCTTCTGAGATGGCATTACTGGAGGTCTAAAGTTGTATGTGTTGATGATAATTACATTGGGTTCTTGTCTCAAATACACTTAATTGAGATTCAAAGCTAGAAATTAGTTGCGCATCCACTTTTTCTTATCCATTCTGGAAATTAGACATATAAAAATTTGCTGAATTTCAAAAATTAGAGAGATAAGAAATAATTATATTTACTGTACACTGTCGAAATAGTAGCCATATACCTGTACATGCTAAGAGTAATTACACACAACGCGGGCACGGTGATGATTTCCCGTAATTCTCCTCAGTTTTTCGTAATTTATAACTTTGAACATAACCTCTCTTCAGAAAGCACAACATATAAATAACCCGTCATATTCAGCATATTCAGTAATGATTTTCTCACACAGCAAATATCACTGATTTTATACACATGCAGACCAATACACATAATCATCCAGATGCTATCTTGTTATGCAACCAACTTTCTTCTCAGAGATAAAAACTACAGACACGGATCATCAGCCTCACAAAAATATGTAACCAATAATGCGTGTAGTGAGGTTGAGTGATTCCTTCATAGATGGACGTTCACAACGATCCTAGTGAGCAAACGTGGAATGACTGTTTGCGCCCTAAACACTACCTAGTCTGCAAGTTAACATCTTATAGGTCTTTTTTGACGTTTCGTAGGTTTTTTACATGATACCCATGCTGGTCTGGTATGCGAAACAAATGAATTCTCATATGTAATTTCAAGGCCGCCTAGGAACTTCTGTTTTTCTGCACTAACTAAGGTTTGGCAATGTCAATGTATGACATATTAAACATTTTTGAAAGCAGAATTAAAAACTGCGCAAAAATCTAAGATGGCGTCCAGAAGAAAACATAAAGTTAATGCTGGAGGACAAGAGAAAAAACGTCGTATTGAAATTCTAATTATGCCATCTTGTAGAGTAAAAAAGTGGTAATGCCAAGATGCTATTTATTTTGGAATCCCATCTCAAATGGAGTCAGGAAAAAATAAAAGTGATTTTGAGATAAATCCTCGCCGGTAGGCGTGGAAGTAAGCATTACATATTTTATGTTCATAAAATAAAATAGCGAATTAATATTACTAAACGTTATGCGTTAGAGTCTTAAACACATATGTGTTCTATTGTATCTGAAAACTACACTGTTATTTTCACGCCGAACGCAGAGTTATACCTCATGCTACGCCACTGATCTAGGTGCAGTCGCTGTACGGTGAGCACTGTGCTTACGTACACAAAGACAAACGCGATCCTTTTCAACACTGAATTTTCGAGTTCTGCAGGATCACTACGTAAAAAACTATATTTTGCTGCAGAGTTACGCTCACATTAATAAACTTATTTATTAATTTCTCAACTAAGAACTGAGTTGAGCTGACTCAAATTCAGTTGAACTGTATAAACTAGAGGCTAGAGCTCAGCTGGGTCCAGATAGAATGACATCTGTGGTATTTTAGACTATTTCAATATTCAATTTAGCAATGAAAATCTAGTTGCTCTGGAATATGTCACTGGCCTTTGACAAGTTTCTGTTATTCAAATCTGTTCGCTGTGACATCTTTTTCATTATTTAGTTTTTACAATCTTGTTAATAATGGTGAATTATTTAAATGCAGAAATGGCGGAAATGTATTACGTATATGGCCTTGCCGACGGTAATGGTGAGCAAGCCGGATTTATCACCAGAGATATCCCGATCGTGCTTTGCCAGATAGTCGAACCTTTTCTAATAATCATCGTAGCCTTGTTGAAACTGGTTCTGTCCGAAAAGGAACATCTGAAGTAAGACCTTTAAGTGTGAAAACACCTGAAATTGAGGAAGCAGTGCTGCACGAAGTCGAAGAACATACTGATGTTCCATTTATAGACCAAAATCTTAAATTAGAAATATTACAAAAGCCTAACTTATAAAACTATCTAAGGCGCTCCCGCAAAACACATTTCAGCTCCGAAATAGAACATAAGGATACGTCACAAAACAAAACAAATACTATCTATTATAATTCAAACACATAACCCTTTCAGGTAATTTCCAAATCAAATTTGTGTTAGCGCGACTGCAAAAGAAAGTGACATTAAAAATTGAAACGGATCTTGGCGTTAAAAACTGTAGTTGTGATAACAATTCCGGAGAAACTATAGTTCCATGCAAGAGTTTAAACAAAAAAATAACAGAACTGTGCTTCCTTCTCACATTCAAAGACGTTGTTCTAAATCTAACAGCTAAAAGCTAAACATTATTTTTGCATTGAAAAATATGCAACATTATCAACTTTCCCTACGGACTGAATATCAGTGAAATATCAGAAGCGGTTCTGAACATATTAATTAATTTCCATTTTTTTCTTAAAACGTCAACACCCCGAGTTTTTGTAAGGAAACATTTTTGGACCATAGTTTATAAAGCAAACTAACATTCGCATATCATTAAGGAACACCCTGTATATATTGATAGTAAACTAAAGTTTGGCGATCACTATGAATATATTATTATACACGTATTATTACTTTTATCAAGCTTAATTATTCTACCGCATTTACTATATATTTTAACTATCTTGTCCACTACCAGTGAAGCTGTATTCTCAAAATTGCAAGTCCTACAAAATAAAGATATGAGAATAATACTGAATAAGAATAAGTTCACCCAAACAAGATCTATGTAGCAGTGGTTGAATTAAAAAAAAATGATATCATGTTTAGTCCTTGTTTTCATATTTCAAATAAAAAAATCATCGTATGCCATTTAGCATTACATATAATTGAATAATGCGTACCACAATTATTATACAAGAAGATATACAGGGTGGCGCATCGAAAACGAAACAGACGCATTTACTGGCAGATCAGTTTTTTTTTGGAAAAACGCTCAGTCGATTTTGTTTTCGAAGGGGACACAAGTTTTGTCAAAAATCACGTTAACAGGTGCAGCCCCCTGGGCGAGGGTGACACCAACCCTAAAATCTTAAATGGAAAGGGGGGGTCGAGTGATACCTTACTTTAAAGGCCTTTCAATTCCCTTTATAATGATGTAAAATACATGGGCTTCAGTTCAGCAGTTTTGAAGATTTATTGATTTCAAGCTTAAAGTAGACTTTAATAGGTACATCAGATTAGTTTGTACTACTTTCAGAAGAAATTTGACTAAAAGAATTTACTTAATAAGTAAATGCTTTTCTTCACTATGCCCATGGTTTGTTAATCATTTTGTTGTTGAAAATAGCTATTGGAGCGTTTTTTTTTTGTTGCAAAAAAGTTGTTTCTTGAAGAAAGATAAGGAAATATCTCGTACTTATTTTAAATAGGAATTTAGTACATAGTTTGCGATTGATTTGACCAAACTTTGATGCTAAAATAACTTGTAACGCTTTATTACACAAATTAACCATGGTACATTCCACAGCAGAAAGAGTTGAAATTATCGAAATATTCTTCGGAAATAATCGGTGCGCTAATAGAACGGCAGAAATATTTAATGAGCGACATGACAGTAACGTGCGTCGAAAATATGTTCTAGAACTTGTAGCTAAATTTCGGGAAACTGGGTCAGTCGCCAATAAAAAACGCAACATTGAAAATCCCATAAGGAACGAAGCAATAGAAGTGGGGGTTTTAGGGCAAGTTTATGTAGAGCCTACGTTAAGTACCCGCAAATTGGAGACTGTGTGTGGTGTTAGTCGGCGTACTGTCCAACGGATTCTAAAGGCCCATCGTTTTCAACCGTATAAAATTCACCTGGTACAAGAACTTATGAAGACGATTTTGATCGGCGATTACAATTTTGTGAAGATATGAGTGAACAAATTATAAACGATGATTTTAAAGAAGTTTGAAGCAAAATTATAGGAATATTTCATCGACAGTGGTAATTCTTAGAGGTTCAAGTTTTGTTTTTCTGACTAACTGTATGTTATACAATCGTTGTAGTTTTTCGAAAGATCATAATTATAGTAATTAATCATGCCGAATAAATCTTAAACAAACAAACATACTTCTATTCACCATCACTGCATAAGCAAGTCGTAAGCGCTTGCGGTAAAGCCCTTTGATTTGGGACCAAAACCCGACACTATTGACAGCCTCAGATACTCAGAAATTCCTTGATGGAATAACCGACGGTTAAGCTAATCTTATCCATTTTGAGATCTGACTGAGGAATATCAAAAACTTCTTATTCGTGGATAGTTTGAAACATATTACATTTTGTCTATTTAGATCAGGATACCAACACTTGCATCAACGGCCAACTTTTCACAAAGAAGAGGCATCTACACTTTAGATCCAGTAGATCACCAGGAACCTGCATTTGGTAAGATTTTGATAGCCAACAGAGGAGAAATAGCATGCAGGATCATCAAGACAGCGAAGAGGATGGGGATCAAAACGGTTGCAGTTTATTCAGTGGCTGATTCTCAGTCGGTAATGTATCTTTGGCAAATCGTTCGTAAGGTCGTTTCGCGAACCCTGTATGACATCGCAAAGATGTAAAGACGATATATACTAAGTGACATATAAATCCGAACACCCAGTTTAAATGGTATTATTTTAATAAAATTTTGTACAAGTACTTAATGAAACATAATAAGTAAATGATAAGAATTTCAAAATGATTGTACTGCTTTAAAGCCCTTTGACCTTTAATAATGTTTGGATGCACCCTGATGTGCTACGCATTCTCCAACGCGCCTAGGCATGCTTCTGATCAGGTGGTCAATGTCCTCCTGTGGTATCTCATTCCAGCCAACCACCAACTCCTCTCGAAGTGCTTCTAGAGTCTGAGGAGGACGTTGCAAATTGAGCAATCTGCTACCCATCATATCCCACACGTGCTCAATTGGGGACAAGTCGGGAGATCTTGGTGGCCATGGTAACAATGTGACATCATTATGTTGAATGAAGTCTATTGTGACTCTTGCAACATGTGGTCGGGCATTATCTTGTTGGAAAGTTGGATCTGCCAGGGTGTCAAGATAGGGTAAAAGATGGGGTTCTAGAACTTTGTGGATATAACGCTGCGCGTTCATGTTACCTCTGATGAAGATTAAAGGTGACCTGGAACCATAAGCTATAGCACCCCAAACCATAACTCCAACAGTGTGATGAACATGTCTTTCAACAAAAAACTGACGATTCCTCCTTTCACCACGTCGCCTTCTAACCCTGGCATGACCATCGTGCATGCCTAAACAAAATCGAGACTCGTCACTAAAGACAATACTGTTCCATTCTTGATCCCAGAGTGACCGTTGTCTGCACCACTCAAGGCGATTACGTCGGTGTTCTCGAGTTAAAGGTAGGACCCAGTGTGGCCGGTATGAAAACAAGCCAAAACTTCTCATTCGTCGGTAAACACTTCGAATGCCAATAGGTCTTCCGTGTTCTGCAAACCATTCATTTGCAATGGACCTGGTAGTGGAGAAACGATCCCTTAAGGCCAATAATCTTAGGCGGTGATCTTCACGGTCTGTTGTTCTTCGGCGGCGTCCAGTGCCCCTTGCTCTTTACGTACGGCCTTCTCGAAGCCATGCCTGACAACACCTAACCACATTGTCTACACTTCTTTGCACTCTAACTGCAATTGCCCGAAAAGAAAGTCCAGCTTCCCGAAGTCCCACTATACGGCCCCTATCAAACTCACTAAGTTGACGAAATCGTACAGGTCTCCGTACTCTAGGCATCGTAACCGATCGTAAAGGATGTCAAGAACCAAAATCCGCCAACGTTGATTCTTTACTGCGGCTGAAATATTCATTTTTAGAGCGTTAGTGAATTAAAAAAAAGCAGTATAAAAACCGGAATGTCTAACTGATAAGGCTGAAAATATTTTCACTTGTTATTTACAGTAAGATAAATATATTCACCAACTTTTATTAAAATAAAACCATTTAAACTTTGTGTATATGTTAGAAATATGTGTTTAGAATACGTTTGTAAGGTTTTTAGTGCGGCATTAAAAGGACAATAAGAAACCGGCGAACATTTATTTGAAAGTATGTATTAAACACAAGTTAATAATAAATAAAATGGTAGGTACAGGTTGTTACATAAACTTTTTCAATATTGTAAACCAAACTTTGTTTGCTACGTTGCTTTTATACTATTCAGTATGACGTCTCGTTCAAAACAAATCATTTCAAATGATTAAGGAATAAGTATAAACCTCAGCTGACCTTTCACCAGTATACGGTTTCAGTTGAGGCTATACTCCATATTGGCACACTTACCTTTAAAGACAGAGAACACTTTTTTCTAATATCTAATACATGTATTAACAAACGCACGGGGGATAAAACTGTAGAGCACTTGCAGAACTAAATATAAGGACGCGCTACCTTTAAACGACGCATCGTTACCTGGTGGCCAATTAATGAGTTAAAATAAAATGTTCAGGATAAATCTTTATGTGGTTTCAGAAAAAGACAACGTTTAAAAAATACAGATATCTGAAAACTTTAACGACTCGTTCTTTTGCACAGCTTGAAATAATGAATTTCCATTAAAAATATATGAATCTCTAAAAACTGTTAAAAATAAATTGGATATTTTAAATTGTGGCTGGTTAAACACGAAAATACGTTTTGCTTCAATGTTTGGTTAAATGTTCAGCATTCGAATTTCTCACTAATATTTTCAAAAAGCTGAACTCTAAAACCTGTAGAAGAAAACGACCGAAAGATATTTATATCGTATCGGGATGTTCATAAAACGCCGCACTTAAGTTATCTTAAAAACGTTTTATCAATTTCTCAGGCAATCAGACTATTAGTGCATAAAATGGACGTCGTTAAGACCTATTGTGTTACCTGGGTAGACGTACATGCTATATTAGACATATTTGCAAACTGGAAAAATGAATAGAAACATTTCAGATATAAAATTATTAATCTCTCGTATAGATATACCAACGGACAGTAAACGAACTGTTATTTGATCGATAAATTACGCTCATTGTTATCTATGTGATGAAATATGAAGTGGTCGTAAATAGCATCAAAGAAAACATGTCATTCAAATCGGATAGTTACGAAAACAAGAAGTCGTCTGATTAAAAACAGGTAGAATAAGTGGCGTCAAGTAGGTTGACTTGTATATGTACGAGCCCCTTCCCACTTCAGTTGGCCCACTTCAAGATTTGTACCGAAATATGCCTTTATAAACTAAACACGAAACTATTTACTTCTAAAAAAATTTATTTTCTCAAAAACATTTTGGATACACTAGTCGTAAAAAATAGATATTTGAAATCACTTAGACCTGTAACTAATAGAACATGTGAACAAATAAACAATGAGCGAATAAATGCGCGAAGATAACAAAGCAACAATTGAAAGATTACCATTGGGTAACATCACCTTTATTTTTTATTACGGCTGAAATTCTTTGGGGCATAGTGTTAACCAAGTTTTGGCAAAAATTTGATGTAAAACAATCCCATATTTCTTGAAGCTTTTGTCTCAGTTCGGTGATTGTACGAGCAGGATGTTGACGTAGAACCTTTTTCATCTCGTGCCACAAAGTTTCAATAGGTGACAGATCTGGATTGCTAGAAACCAATTTCAAAAGTGGTACATTATTTTCTTCCATCCATTTTATAGCCTTTTTTGAGGTATGGCACGCTGCACCATCTTGCTGAAACACAAAATCTTGGCCGGATGTCAAACATTCTTCCATCACTGGTAAAAGCGATTCTTCTAAAATTGCCAAATATTTGTTTGTATCCACATTTCCATCAATAGAATGAAGTTTTCCTACTCTTTTGATGACATACTGCCCCAGACCATAATGGATGCTGGAAATTTCACTTTGCTCTTCAGACAGTCAACATGAAATGCTTCATTTTTTTTTGCGAATAACTCTACTGCGACTGTCACCAACACAAACTTAAAATCGGGCCTCATCACTCCATTGTATTGCACACCATTGTTCAGGTGTCCATTGTCTATGATCTTTAGCTCATCTAAGCCGATTTTTCTTTTGCAGTGGAGTTAATAGTGGCTTTTCTTTGGCCTATAAAAAAGTTATGCAACTTTAGGGTTTTTACTTCACTTTTTTTATAAGAAAACTTACCTTGCAAGTGCTAAATCCCAGTTTGTGGACTTCTCTATGAGTTGTGGGCCTCGAAATTCTCCTTCCAACAGCGTCACTCCACAGAGCACTTGATTGTAAATAATTGGCACGCTTGTTTTTCACGATTATTCTTCTTAATGCTCTTCGGTCCGCATTTGTGATATTACTTTTTTCACATATCGTGGCATAATATTAACTGAACCAGTTACGTTACATCTTCTAACAATATTTCTCACACTGTACCGCAAAAGGTCTAACAAAGTTGCAATTTCTGAGTTTGATTTCCCAAAATTAAAAAAATTAATTATCTGTAACCGGATTTTCTCACTAATAACCTTTCCTCTACCCATTTTGAAAACATTAACTACCCAAAACTATTTTAAACGTATTCTGACAGCTGTGATTAATAAAAACAATTGTCATGGCTCTTATTTTTAAAGTAGGTTGATATGCTGTAATTGCAACATGTGTTATTTTTGTGCTGCATATTTGATTAGGGAGTGATAAAGTTGGTGTTTTCTACTATATATTTTCAAAATATTCATTGTTAATATTTTAAACCTATAATACCCTGCTATATATTTGTGTTTGATAAGAAAAAGACTAAGATTTCAATAGTTGGGCCAACTGAAGTGGGAAGGGGCTAGTACAAACTGCAAAAAACCAAAATTTCGCCAATTTTGGCCTAACAGACAAGGTTCAAAATCTTTAAAAAATATATGAATCTTAAAATACTCTCCGGGCCCTGGTAAAGCAAGGCTTATAGTTTAATTTAGCTATATTTCTTAACCGGTCTTTTAGGCCCTTATCGTCAGTCGTCCCTACAATTGCAGGGTGCGTTTATGGCCTCCTTGATTGTCACACTCTTTTCTCTCCTTCAAAAATTTCTAGATTACACTCGTCCCGTGACAGCGGCAGCGCTCTCCTATTGTTAAGATAATAATAATAATAATATTTATTTACTCTAAAATACAGGGAACATGAAACGAGTAAATAAATATAATATATCCATAGGAGGACAACGCCTGTGCATGGATCATATGTATGTTGAATTGTAAAATATAATAAAATAGAGAGAAGAAAGAAATTATTGGTAAGAATGGTAGAGCATTTATTGTGTAATATTTGAGATTATTTTATTAATTTGATTTCTCCCAATCGTGTTAATAATCTTTTTAATTTTTTTTTGAAGCCTAATGTATTGCGTAATTGTTTTAAATTATTTGGTAAATGTTCGTACAACTTTGGAGCTATATACAGGTGACATCGTTTCATTAGGGATTTGTTTGGTTTAGGAACATTTTTTGCGCGTAATTTATATCTGGTTTTATGATTATGTTTAATTATGTCGCGTTCACTAATAGTTTTGTGATAATGAGTGATGGTATGTAAGAAGTAAAGTTGTTTAGTATCATATACTTGTGCATCATTATATAAGTCATTAGTTGGGTATAATTTTGATTTGCCTAACATTGATTTTAAAATTCTTCTTTGAAGTACATCTAAATCGTTAAAGTATGCCGTGCATGCAGCACTCCACACTACTATACCATATGTTATGTGTGGCTCGACTAAAGCTTGATATATTATTCGTAGATAATATTCAGTTAATATACCGGTTAGAAATTTTATTTTATATGCTATGAATCTAATTTTCTTTAGTATGTGAGAAATATGTACATCCCATCTCAAGTGGGGATCTAGATAAATTCCTAAATATTTTGTATCATTAACTCTATTGATTTTTATATTTTTATCATTAACCTTAAACCGAAGGTGGTTATATTTTGGTAGATGATTAGACAGTGATGAAAATGGTAAAAAATGAGTTTTAGTAAAGTTAATTGTTAATTTTCGGTTATTAAACCACTGAATAATTTTGCAAAAGTCATTTTGGATAATATCTTTTAAGTCGTTCCAATCCTTACCTTTATAGAGTATAGCAGTATCGTCTGCAAAACTGACTATTTTACCAGTACTGTTAATTTTGAATACATCGTTTAAATAAATATTGAATAACATTTTAAATTGTAGGAAATTTGAGGCTGATAAAACATAACTCAAAAGCAAGCACAATTTGATGCAAATAGATGTTTGTGACATAACCTCAAAATACAGCTCTGACACGGAGAAGTAGAAAACTATGACAATCAAGGAGGTCATAAACGTGCCCTACAATTGTAGGCTTATAACTCAGAAATGGTCAGCCTTAGAGAAAAGTTAATGAAAATCTTTGTAATTTGTTATATTTTTTATGAACAAGTTTGATCTTAGTTTCTGTGCGTATATATTCAATGCTTAATAGCTCGGTTGAAATTTATAATGTTCGGGTAGCCAGGTATCTAGATTAAAGCTAAAACCTTGCTCTCCACGACCATGAAGAGTATTTCCAGTTTAGTTTATGTTGAAGCGATTTCGAAGTTGCTTTTCAGGCTAAAACTGGCAAATATTTGGTTTTCGCAGACTGTATGTGTACACACATCGAATATCGGAACTTCGCGCGACTTTAAGTGAAGTGATTACGCACCCTTTAAGGGGCCGTCTCTGAATGGTCTTTTTCACGAGTAGCCATTACTTTTTGACGTCAATTTATTTGAACAGCTGATCAACAAGTGGTAACTTTGTATTGTATCTGTAATGATGGCAATAATTATACAGGGTTTGTCCGGAAAGTAATACGACTCATTTTCTTCCGCCATGACTGTACTTCGGAGCATGCGCGCACCGACTGGATTCGGTAGAGGGCGTTCCTAGCTAACGAATGAGCGGCTGGTCAGTTGTCTCCGAGCACTTGGAGAGTTTGATATGATCAAGCAGGATTACCCAGGTGTTGCTTTAGCAAGAAGTGGTGTGTTTTGGTGGCAGCAGGCCTTTTTGGAGTGCCGGGAAGAGGTCGCTGATGAAGACAGTGCTGGAAGATCTTCGACTTCGACAAACACCGATAATGTGACTAGTGTGCGCAATGTTTTGAATTCAGACCGTCGACGTATTCGTTTAATTGCCCAGAAGTTAAATTTGCCAAAATCTGTGGTTCATGACATTGTGACACAGCATTTGAACATGCGCAAGGTGTGCGCGAAGATGATCCCAAAAGTGCTCACTGACGACCAGAAGTTGCGGCGAGTGGAAGTGTGCCAAGAAAATTTGAACATGTGTGAAAGTGACCCCAATTTTTGAATAACGTAATCACAGGTGACGAGTCGTGGATTTTTGAGTATGATCCCGAGACAAAGAGGCAATCTTCCGAGTGGCACACGACGGCGTCTCCTCGCCCAAAAAAGGGAAGAATGAGCAAATCCAAAATGAAAACGGTGCTGATTGTCTTTTTTGACATCAAAGGCATCGTCCACCATGCAGTTGTTCCTCCTGGACAAAACGTCAACGCCAAGTTTTACGTGGAAGTGCTCAGGAGACTCAAACGAAGGGTCAGTCGCGTCCGACAAGACATCGCAGCCGACTGGAAGTTGCACCACGACAACGCCCAGGCTCACACCGCCTTTCTTGTGAACAGCTACCTGACCAAGGCCAGCATCCCAACGATACAGCCCAGATGTGCCCCCCCCGGACTTTTTTTTGTTTCCTCGCCTGAAAAGGCTGATGAAAGGCAAGCATTTTGAGACGACAGAGGGGATCCAAGCAGCATGCACCGCGGCTCTCAAGGCTCTAAAGAATTGTAACGATTGGCTCAATAAATTTTTTTAAATCGACACAGTCCTATTACTTTCCGGACAAACCCTGCATGGTCTATACTTGGTCAATCGTCTCTGGATAACGAACGGAAGCATAGACACTATCCTCTATCTGTGGACGAAATAAGACAGTGCAAGGCGCCATCTATTAGCAGAAACAACAAACAGTGTTTAGCAACTTCCGATTGGAACTGTGAAGATTTCAGTCCGCGATAGTAGTGCACTCAACCAGTGTGATGGCTAAAGATTCTGGCCGACCAAACACAGCCAATCACGGAACCGTTTTGTGCTTTTTGGCTACTGATCAGCATTGTCTAGGTTTGGCCAATCGTCTCTACCTCCTGGATAGTGTATAGCTGCTATGTTTTCCAAACTATACCAAACCTAGTGGAAAAACTGTCTATCTTGTGTTATTTCTACCTGACTTGAAAGTTAGTCACGATAATTAGCAGCCATTCTGCTTTTAGCGTTTTTTCTTCTATGGGAAGGAACTTTTGTATAAAGCACAACAAAATACGAGCCTGTCCACAGATCTAACTTCCACAGATTCGTCAGACTTGTGTGTTACTTGTCTGGTATTTTGAAATATTGTAATGGATACTCGGGAAAAAGACCACACACGTATACATGAATAGTCACACAGGACCCTCATCCAAAATTTTTAATCCAACGAACAAAAGAAGTTATTCATGTATGTGGTACTGTCATCCCCAGAGCTTAGATAATAATCAAATTCAAGCGGATAACCAAATGGAAATGGTATTTACCATTTTGGATTGGAATTTACCGATCCGTTCAAGCGAGTGTGGTTATCAGTTTGGTTATAAGATCCGTGACGTCATGAATCAGCTGTTATATGTCATAGTTATCACCGCAAAATTGTGGTATTTACCCAACTCCGGAGTAGTTTTATATTTCTGGTTATTATTTGACATGTGACAAGTTAGAATTTTGCCGGGTATTGGATATTTTTATTGTACTTCAGCTTCATTTTTGGGAAACTTGATACAGGCTGACTTCAGTTTTAGCATAAGAGAGCATTTTATTATTTATAATCATCACTGTTGTTGGGGACACTTTAAATCTAGTTCCTACACTTAAAAAAGTATCCTGTATAGCCATATATGACAAGAATATTAAAATATGGCCGTATAAAGTTAGTGTATGATGTCCACCTGTATACGCTTTTGTTAATATCTTGTTTTCATCGCTTTTTCATCATTTCTGCTAAATCAATAAATATTTTCTATGACATGCGGAAAAGTTTAGAGAATTGAAAGTTATCATAGCTACAAAGCCATGGTTCCATCAGTAAAAATTTTTTTCGGAAAAAAAAGCATTCCTCCCATTAATATTATGAAAGTTTTCTTTTTTTCAACTTTCCATACACCGTTGTAGACGAAAAAGCACCGATTATTAAGTGATAATAAAAATAATCAGAAATTATATACGCGCTTTTCTAAAATAAACAACTTGCAACAAACCGCGGTTAAAACCAACGCGTTCAAGCGATTCGAGTAACTGACGTCACCATCCCGTGTGTCATCTTGAACCATATTATAACCGCGGTACATAATACGGAAATTTTGGTTATCCGCTTGGATTTGATTAAAGATTGAATTATTGTCACCTTATTTTGTTAATATCTGTATGTTAGAAAAAGTCAACGTCATCGAATGATGAAGCTTAGTGTTTTCACTCAAGAGCTTGAAATATCGAAAAAGCTTTTACAGGTATACCGTTCAACGTATAAAATGACATCTTTACTACAGTGTTTCCAAAAATCGTAATAATTACACTTAATTGTTGTTGTTGACAATACATTTTTTCAGTTGCATGTGAAAATGGCAGACGAAAGCGTATTCATTGGTCCATCACCAGCTTCAGAATCATATCTGATTAAGGAGAAAATACTGGACGCTATTGCAAGAACTGGTGCCGAAGCTGTTCATCCAGGGTATGGATTTCTGTCAGAAAATGCTGCCTTTGTAGAACAGTTGGTGAGAAACTTTATTTATTGCTACGGCCGAGTACCTTATTCGACCGGTTGTCATTTCACAAGAAAATTCAATCATCCGTAGTTAATTGAATTTAATCTGCGGAAGTCCAAGTGTATTTGCTACAAGACTTGCAACAAATGACGCTCATCTTTCTTTCATCGGGAAATTTTGTTTCGAGGGATGTCTTTTAAGTTTTGCATATAGAAACATAGTAGGCCGCGCGGATCGAACGTCAGCACTGAATCTTAACCTCACTCTTTAGTAAACGTAAATTCAAAGTTTCACAACAATACGTGCAGTGTTCTCACTACAGTGAATTTTTAAGTGTCACTAAGTCATTAGAAAAATGGAACTCGACCGAGAACATTTTCGCGCCATAATTTATTACAACTTTCAGAGACAATTATCGCAACAACAATGCCTTGCTGAGTTACTGTCTGTTTTCGGCAACGACGCGCCACATCAGTCTACAATTTCCCGTTGGTATGGAGAATTCAAACGTGGACGGGTGAGTCTTAGCGACGATCCCAGGGTGGTGCACCAAAAACCGCAGTCACCCAGGAAAATGTCGATGCCTGTGCGCAAACTCATCTTTGAAGATAGACATGTGACATATCGCGAGATTGAGGCGTCCTTGAGTATCTCAAAGACCTCAATTCAAAAAATTTTACATGAAGAATTCGGAGTAAGAAAATTAGTTTCTCGTTGAATACCCCACCTGTTGAGTGAATAGCAGAAAACAATGTGTACAGCATCGTTAGTGGTGATGAATCGTGGATTTACTGTTATGAACCAGAAAATAAACGATAGTCGGCTGTTTTCGTGTTCCAAGATGGAGAAAAGCCAACAAAAGTCATCCGTTCTCGAAGTGTTTCGAAAAAGATGGTCGCGACATTTGTGTCGAAAGCGGGTCATATTGCAACAATTCCTCTTAATGAGCAAAGAACTGTTACTGCGGATTGGTATACCACCATTTGTTTGCCAAAAGTCATCACCGAGCTTCGGAAAAATCAACCCCGAAAGAAGAATCATCCTCCACCAAGACAATGCAAGCTCGCACACAGCCCAGCAGACTGCGTGGTCAAAAGTTCCAGAAGAAGCAGTTGACGCATTCAAAAATGCCGTTTTGGATTTGCCAGCAAACGAGTGGAATGAGTGCTTCGAAAATTGGTTACCATGCAGATGTGTATTAATTTTCCTGGATAATACTTCGAAAAACAATAAAGTCATTTAAAACAACCTACCCTGTTGTTTTATTTCCATATGCAAAACATAAAAGACATCCTCGTATGCACAATTTTTTCTGACATATAGCTTTAAAAACATTCTTAGTGACAGCCTTTATCATTGCATTGTCAGTTTTATGTTACAATGCCAGTCATGGCACTATAAAGTAGCAGGTGCACGAGAATTTGTGGATCTGAAATGCCGTGACTAGTGTTTGCCATCAAAGCGAGGACGGAATATGACTTGTAAACAGAAACTTTTAAACTATTTATGAGGTTTATTCATAGTATGTGGATCACGTTTACATTTTAACTAATCACTGATTAACAGCCAAAAAATATCCTAAATAAAATCAACAAAATATTACTATTTTGCTAAAACCGGAATGAAACTGATTTTTTCAATATTGGTTCAAGTTTTAGAGATACGGTAATTATATATGTTCCTGCTGTGACAGTGTTAATATACTGTAATTCATAAGAATGCACGTGCTACATTTTTATATTCGGCAAGGAAAGATGATGTAATCGGCATGATTGTGTTACGTTATACATACGTGTACATTATATTGTTTTATATTAGCCATTTTTTCCTCAGTTGGCTGACAGCGTTCATGCAAGATGTCTCGAAAGTGTGTAAACAATCCAGTTTTGTTACGTGTGTGGTGATGTGACTTTTGCGTTTTAGAGACGGTCTATTACTCCACTAATAACAAAGGCATATCAGCTTTATTTCGGTTGTAAACTAGGTGATCAAGACAAACAGTGGGCACCCCACATCTGCTGTAATACATATGCTTCAAGTCTGAGGAGCTGGTTAAATGGCAAAAAACGGTCTATGCGCTTTGTTGTCCCAATGGTTTGGAGAGAGCCTACAAATCATATTAATGATTGTTACTTTTGCATGGTACCTTGTGTTGGACAAGCCACAGGTATGTCCAAGAAAAAAAAATCGGTTATTAACTACCCAAACATACCATCTGCGATGAGACCTTTGCCTCACAGTGACGAAAATCCTATTCCAAAACCCCCAGAATCCTACACTTGCGAATCAGGAAACGAATCATGGCGATCGAGTGACTCGTCAGGAAGAAGATATGCCATCAACGTCAAGAGATCCTGATTTTATACCGAGCACGTCATGCCACCAACCGCACAAAATAACACAGTCAGAATTAAATGATCTTGTAAGAGATTTAGAACTTCCAAAATATAAGGCAGAGTTACTTGGATCAAGACTGCAGCAGTGGAACTTGTTAGAAGACGATGTTTCGGTATGTGTTTTTCGTAAACGCCACAAAGACTTAGAACCATTTTTCAATATGGAGAATAACTTGGTTTTCTGCAGTAATATTAACGGTTTACTGGCGGCTTTAAATATAAACTATAACCCAGAAGAATGGAGATTGTTTATAGACAGTTCAACATTGAGTTTAAAGGCAGCGTTATTGCATATTGGAAATATTTTACCATTTCTTCCTGTAGGGTATGCAGTTCACATGAAAGAATCATATGACAATATGAAGTACCTATTGACATGCATAAAATACGATGAGCACCAATGGCATATTTGTGGCGATTTGAAAGTTGTTGCACTTTTACTTGGGCTGAAGCTAGGCTACACAAAGTTTTGCTGTTTTTTGTGTGAATGGGACAGTCGGGCAAAGGCACTTCATTACACCAGACAAAACTGGCCTGTTCGTCAATTCCTAGAGTCAGGTCAAAAAAATGTACAGCATATGCCATTAGTAGATTCGAAAAAAAATGTATTACCACCACTGCATATCAAGTTGGGCCTAATGAAAAACTTTGTCAAGGCATTAGATAGAGATGGGTCAGCTTTTCAATACCTGCGTCAGAAATTTCCAAGACTAAGTGAGGCAGAGGTTAAAGAAGGTATTTTTGTTGCGCCACAGATTCGGAATATTTTGAAAGATACACAGTTTGAAAACACTTTAACAGGTATTGAAAAAACTGCTTGGAATGATTTCCGTCTGGTGGTCACTAATTTCTTGGGAAATAGAAAAGCTGACAACTACAAAACCCTTGTCAAAAATATGCTGTCATCTTATCAAAAGATGGGCTGTAATATGTCTCTTAAGATACATTTCCTACACTCACACCTGGACGTTTTTCCTGACAATTGCGGAGCCCTAAGTGATGAGCACGGCGAACGTTTTCATCAGGATATTTCAACAATGGAAAAAAGGTACCAGGGAAAGTGGAATCCTTCCATGCTTGCAGACTACTATTGGACTCTTGGTAGAGATGCTCCAGAAACGATCCATAAAAACAGCAAAAAGACAGCGCATATACTGATTCTTATAAGAATATGAATCTTGTTACTTTTTTAATGTACCCTTAAAAATAAAAAGTTTTTTTCTAAATCGCAACTAATTTTTTTATTTCATTGTCATTTTTGGAATCAGCGCCCCAAAATTAACAAAGAAGTGCACTTTTCCCACAAGATACAATTAAAAAACTAAAATTTGTTGTCCAGTGTAATTAGTGAAAGTATACTGGTTTAATTTAAGTGACGACGAGTGTGTTTCCTCCTTTCAGGAATCAGACAACATATCGTTCATAGGCCCTTCGGCATCCTCAATCACAGGCATGGGTGATAAGCTGGAATCAAAAAGATTGGCCGCCGCTGCAGGTGTCAGCACAATTCCAGGTTTCGATGGGGTTGTTAAGGATGCAGAACATTGTGTGCAAATATCCAGAAGTATCGGTTATCCAGTCATGATCAAGGCAAGTGCAGGAGGGGGAGGTAAAGGAATGAGAATCGCTCGGAATGATGATGATGCTCGGTAAGTTCGAAATATACAGGGTGAGTCATTTATTTTGACAGCTTGTAGAACTCATCAAAAAAAGTTGATATGCCATAAATTACCTAACGGGTGATTTTTTAAGAGGTATAGGATTTGATTTTCAAAAAAAAAACACAAAAAATTTGAAAAAACGATTAAATCTTTATTTGAGTCGATAGAACGGTCGATATAATTTAATGTTTAAAGATTGTTTCATGTAAATGGTGGCCGCGGCTCCGCTTTAGATGGCCCATGCGCAAGGTCCAATTTTGGCACACTCTCTCCAACATATCGGCCGGTATCTCACGAATAAATGATTCAATGTTGGCTTCCAGTGCGTCAATCGTTGCTGGTTTATCCCGGTAAACATTAGCCTTAACACGGCCTCACAAGAAATAGTCCAACGGCGTTAAATCACACGATCTAGGCGGCCAATTGACGGGCCCCAAACGTGAGATAAACTGTTCACCGAACACGCCTCTCAATAGGGCCATTGTTACGTGTGCGGTGTGGCATGTGGCACCGTCTTGTTGAAACCACATGTCAGCCAAGTCCAGCTCTTTCGTTTTGGGCAAAAAAAAGTTTGTTATCATCGCACGGTAGCGCTCGCCATTCACAGTTACGTTCCGGCCATTGTCGTCTTTGAAGAAGTACGGCCCGATGATGCCACCTGCCCATAATCCACACCAAACACTGATTTTTTCGGGATGCACTGGTAGCACTTGCAATGCTTTTGGCTGGTCTTCACTCCAGATGCGGCAATTTTGCTTGTTAACGTACCCATTCAACCAGAAATGAGCTTCGTCGCTGAACACAATTTTTCGATAAAAATGTGGATCTTCCTCCAACTTTGCCAGCGCCCATTCACTAAATTGGCAACGTTGTGGGAGGTCGTGTGGCTTCAATTCTTGCACCAGCTGTATCTTATAAGGTTTTACACCCAAATCTTGTCGCAAAATTTTCCACGTAGTGGAGTAACAGAGGCCCAATTGCTGCGAACGGCGGCGAATCGGTCATCACTAACACTGGCGGATACAGCCGCAACATTTTCTTCAGTCCTCACTCTACGTCTGCGTGTTGGTGGTTTAATGTCCAATAATGTAAACTGGGTTCGAAATTTAGTCACAAGCTTCCGAATAGCTCCCTCAGTAGGCCGACCAAGTTGCCCATAAATTGGAAGCAATGCTCGATGCACTCTCTTATCCGAGCATGAACTTTGATAGTAAAATTCAATAATTTGCATGCGTTGTTCGTTCGTAAGTCGATTCATGATTAAACTATAGACCAAACTGAATAAGTTTGAGAATGACACAAGACACGATTCACGCGTCATCTGTCAAAAACAGTGTTGCCAAAAAGATACTAGCAAAAAAATCACCCATTGTATAAAAGTTGCATAACAAGAGAGTTAATTTAAATAATCAAAAATTATTTAAAAAAATCTTTATCAAGTTAAATGGATACCGTTTTTACAAAAACCGCTCAAAATTGTCCCCATTTCATTTCAACGACTCTTTACAAACTTCAAAAATAAAATCCACGCCCATGTCGACGAATTAAATCACAAGCATTTTCAATGCGCTGGTGATCTTCTCCCAGAGTATTTACTGCTCCGTCATGATATAGCCCCACAGAAAAAAATCGCAAGGCGTTAGATCCGGTTAGCGAGCAGGCCAAGAAATGGGTCCATTGCGCACTATCCATCTATTTAGATGTTCATTCACGTCTCGTCTAAAATGTGGTGTAGCCTCATATTCTATCTCATATTTAGAAGAACAGCTTCTAATCATTGTGGGAGATTTTCCCGAAAAAAAATCTAAATAAATTTCACCAGTCACTCGAGGAGGAAAAACTGGGGTCCAATAAGCATGCCATTTACTATGCCAGCCCGAACATTTAATGAAAATCTATGTTGAAAATTACAATTCATACTCCCCACTTTTGGAATATGAAGTGAAATAGTTATTAGGCTGGCTCATTCGTTTAAGATCATACGCATAAAATCAAAACAGTTATTTGGCAAAAACCAGTGACGTACAATTTTTCGTTTATATCATCGAAATCAGCTTTTTAGACATACCGTATCTGCTCTTATTTTTTCCTGTGAATATTCTGTAATACAGACAGTTTAGTAAACTGAATATAGGAGCCCCTTCCCACTTCAGTTGGCCCAGTTTAAGATTTGTACCAAAATATGCCTTTATAAACTAAAAATGACGAAACTATTTGCTTCTAAAACGGTTTAGATACACTCTAGTCGTAAAAAATACATATTTGAAATCACTTAGACCTATAACTAATAGAACATCTGAACAAATAAACAATGTGCGAATAAATGCGCGAAGTTAACAAAGCAACAATTGAAAGATTACCATTGGGTAACATCACCTTTATTTTTTATTACGGCTGAAATTCTTTGGGGCATAGTGTTAACCAAGTTTTGGCAAAAGTTTGGTGTAAAACAATCCCATATTTCATGAAGCTTTTGTCTCAGTTCGGTGATTGTACGAGCAGGATGTTGTCGTCCAACCTTTTTCATCTCGTGCCACAAAGTTTCAATAGGTGACAGATCTGGACTGCTAGAAACCCATTTCAAAAGTGGCACATTATTTTCTTCCATCCATTTTATAGCCTTTTTGAGTTATGGCACGCTGCACCATCTTGCTGAAACACAAAATCTTGGCCGGATGTCAAACATTCTTACATCACTGGTAAAAGCGAATCTTCTAAAATTGCCAAATACTTGTTTGTATCCACATTTCCATCAATAAAATGAAGTTTTCCTACTCCTTTTGATGACATACTGCCCCAAACCATAATGGATGCTGGAAATTTCACTTTTCTCTTCAGACAGTCAGCATGGGATGCTTCACACATCGTGGCTTAATATTAACTGAACCAGTTAAGTTATATCTTCTAACAATATTTCTCACACTGTACCGCGATAAGTCTAACAAAGTTGCAATTTCTGAGTTTGATTTTCCAGAATTACAAAATTTAATTATCAGTAACCGAATTTTCTCACTAATAACCTTTTCTCTATCCATTTTGAAAACCATAACTACCCAAAACTGTTTTAAACGTATTCTGACAGCTGTGATTAATAAAAACAATTGTCATGGCTTTTATTTTTCACAGCCACCTATGCGTTATAGACTTATTTACATTGAAATGAAAATAGGTTGATATGCTGTAATTGCAACATGTGTTATTTTTATGCTGCAAATTTGATTAGGGAGTGATAAAGTTGGTGTTTTCTACTATATATTATCAAAATATTCATTGTTAATATTTTAAACCTGCTACATTTTTATTATTTGTGTTTGATAAGAAAAAAACTAAGATTTCAATAGTTGGGCCAACTGAAGTGGGAAGGGCCTCGTAATACAATTGGTTCGACTATATTTAGGCTCGATAAAGGTTTTTGTCTCTGTGTCTATCAAAAATACATTTTTTCAGGGATGGTTTCAAGCTCTCTACTCAAGAAGCCTTATCTAGCTTTGGAGATAGTCGGATGTTAGTGGAAAAGTTCATAGATAATCCTAGGCATATAGAAATACAAGTATTAGGAGACAAGCACGGTAATGTTATCTACTTAAATGAAAGAGAATGCAGTATACAAAGAAGAAACCAAAAAGTTATAGAGGAGGCTCCAAGGTATGTATGTAGGTCTCGGTTATTACTAGCATCTTAGTATAGCAAACTACTAAATATTAAATTGTTTATTTAATTGAAGATGACTTACTGTCTGTTAGCTTGTTGATCATCAATTACCGCAGGAATAGCGAAAAAGATAAACACTTTAGATACACAGAAGTTTAAGCTATTGGTTATGTATGGTCATATACAGGGTATCTCAGGATAACGTGTCAATATGAGGCATTCCACCGAAAAAAGTGAGGCCTCTCTGTACATCTTGTAGGTATGACACAAAAAACACGTTTATCATTTCGTGGGATAAAAATTTGGTTGGGAAATTGGGATTCTTTTGAATAATTTATTTGAATTTGGAAGCATCGCATTGGGGTAGCAAACATGACGTCTCATATAGGAAATTTCGTGTAAAGGTGCAAAACCAGGAAGTAAGCGTTTTAAACCAAAATTTTAATAACTTCGGCTGATACTATTTTCGATTTGTTCACGTCACAATATACCCTCAAGTGTAATGAAAGTTTTAAAATGGGATGCGCATTATTTAAAGAGATAGGTTTGTACATACATGTTGCACTGATGTTTTCTAATGTCAGGGTAGCCCTGTAGCCGTCCTATCGTCCAGTAGAGAGCGCGACATCTTCCTGTTAACAATAAGCAAGGAAAATGATTATGTACTAAACGTTTGTTGAGCAATGTGCATTCTGTAATTTTATTTATGTCCTCAAGCAGACTTTTGTACGACAATTACTTATAATATTATTCTCAATAAAATGCAAGTTCACTTACATCAATGTAGATATACAGGGTGTCCCGAAAAAAGTGTGCAAGATTCTACCAGCGGTTTCTAGAGCTTAAAATAGGAAGAAAAGTTTATATAAACATGAGTCGACAAACGTCCTCAGGGCAAATTCGCAGTACATTTCCTATCATGTGACAAATTTTTTAGTTTGATTTTATTCAAAAATGGCACAATTTATCGATATTCAATAAGAGAAAACCCTAAATTTCCAAATTCTAAAATTGAATTTCAAAAATAGAATCACACAAAAATTTTGGGGCTAAAATAACCTGAGTCCGTCACTATTCCAAACAAAACTGTCTAAAATTACACTGGACAACAAATTTTAGTTTTTTAATTGTATCTTGTGGGAAAAGTGCACTTCTTTGTTAATTTTGGGGCGCTGAATCCAAAAATGACAATGAAATAAAAAAATTAGTTGCTGTTTAGAAAAAAAACTTATTTTTAAGGATATATCAAAAAAAGTAACAAGATTCATATAGTTATAAGAATCACTATATGCGCTGTCTTTTTGCTGTTCTTTTATGGATCGTTTCTGGAGCATCTCTACCAAGAGTCCAACAGTAGTCTGCAAGCATGGAAGGATTCCACTTTCCCTGGTACCTTTTTTCCATTGTTGAAATATCCTGATGAAAACGTTCACCGTGCTCATCACTTACGGCTCCGCAATTGTCAGGAAAAAAGTCCAGGTGTGAGCGTAGGAAATGTATCTTAAGAGACATATTACAGCCCATCTTTTGATACGATCACAGCATATTTTTGACAAGGGTTTTATAGTTGTCAGCTTTTCTATTTCCCAAAGAATTAGTGACCACCAGACGGAAATCATTCCAAGCAGTTTTTTCAATACCTGTTAAAGTGTTTTCCAACTGTATATCTTTCAAAATATTTCGAATCTGTGGCCCAACAAAAATACCTTCTTTAACCTTTGCCTCACTTAGTCTTGGAAATTTCTGACGCAGGTATTGAAAAGCTGACCCATCTCTATCTAATGCCTTGACAAAGTTTTTCATTAGGCCCAACTTGATATGCAGTGGTGGTAATAAATTTTTTTTCGAATCTACTAATGGCACATGTTGTACATTTTTTTGACCTGGCTCTAGGAATTGACGAACAGGCCAGTTTTGTCTGGTGTAATGAAGTGCCTTTGCCCGACTGTCCCATTCATACAAAAAACAGCAAAACTTTGTGTAGCCTAGCTGCAGCCCAAGTAAAAGTGCAACAACTTTCAAATCGCCACAAATATGCCATTGGTGCTCATCGTATTTTATGCATGTCAATAGGTACTTCATATTGTCATATGATTCTTTCATGTGAACTGCATACCCTGCAGGAAGAGATGGTAAAATATTTCCAATATGCAATAACACTGCTTTTAAACTCAATGTTGAACTGTCTATAAACAATCTCCATTCTTCTGGGTTATAGTTTATATTTACAGCCGCCAGTAAGCCGTTAATGTTACTGCAGAAAACCAAGTTATTCCCCATATTGAAAAATGGTTCTAAGTCTTTGTGGCGTTTACGAAAAACACATACCGAAACATCGTCTTCTAACAAGTTGCACTGCTGCAGTCTTGATCCAAGTAACTCTGCCTTACATTTTGGAAGTTCTAAATCTCTTACAAGATCATTTAATTCTGACTGTGTTATTTTGTGCGGTTGGTGGCATGACGTGCTCGTTATAAAATCAGGATCTCTTGACGTTGATGGCATATCTTCTTCCTGACGAATCACTCGATCGCCATGATCTGATTCGTTTTCTGATTCGCAAGTGTAGGATTCTGGGGGTTTTGGAATAGGATTTTCGTCACTGTGAGGCACAGGTCTCATCGCAGATGGTATGTTTGGGTAGTTAATAACCGATTTTTTTTTCTTGGACATACCTGTGGCTTGTCCAACACAAGGTACCATGCAAAAGTAACAATCATTAATATGATTTGTAGGCTCTCTCTAAACCATTGGGACAGCAAAGCGCATAGACCGTTTTTTGCCATTTAACCAGCTCCTCAGACTTGAAGCACATGTATTACAGCAGATGTGGGGTGCCCACTGTTTGTCTTGATCACCTAGTTTACAACCGAAATAAAGCTGATATGCCTTTGTTATTTGTGGAGTAATAGGCCGTCTCTGAGACGCAAAAGTCACATCACCACACACGTAACAAAACTGATCTGGATTGTTTACACACTTTCGAGACATCTTGCATGAACGCTGTCAGCCAACTGAGGAAAAAATGGCTAATATAAAACAATATAATGTACACGTATGTATAACGTAACACAATCATGCCGATTACATCATCTTTCCTTGCCGAATATAAAAATGTAGCACGTGCATTTTTGTGAATTACAGTATATTAACACTGTCACAGCAGGAACACATATAATTACCGTATCTCTAAAACTTCAACTAATATTGAAAAAATAAATTTCATTCCGGTTTTAGCACATTAAAAATAGTAATATTTTGTTGATTTTATTTAGGATATTTTTTGGCTGTTGATCAGTGTTATGAATATTTTTAAATCCAGCATAAAAAGCTAGGCTAGAATAGCAAATTTTATGTCTTTATCTCAACAGTTTCGGAAATATTAAGGAAAAACCATCTTCAGGGAAGCCCCTTTAAAAGACTGTAGCGCCCTTAGGGGACGTTTGTCGACCTATGTTTATACAAACTTTTCATCCTATTTTAAGCTCTAGAAACCGCTGGTAGAATATTGCACACTTTTTTCGGGACACCCTGTATAGGATTTGTGGTCGTTTGGAGTATGACGCAAATGATTATTGTTCATTGGTGCATTATATGATCATGACTGCTAATTTACTGCCCGGTCGCAAATGAAAAAATAGTTCTTGCAGCTAAACCAATTGATCTATGGCGTATTTTTTGATTTAACATGGGAATTAGTGGCCCATCTTACATAAATCGTAACTTTCCTCTAGTTTGAGAGACAAGAATTCGACCATATTCATTAGATCCATTACTACAAAGACGCCTTGTCATTGGTTGAATTTGTGTTCCACTCGATTCTTTGCACCCCAACCGAGTGAAATCGCCGCTAAAAGTAGCATTCGAGATACGGACATGCTACTCTGGGTCACCCTATATATCTTGAAACGCTAGATTTATATAATATCGCTGATCTGTGGAAACCTCATCAATAGTTGTGATAAAGTTTTTATCTAATATTTGTGATATTAACTCATTACAAAATAATTGTGCCATTTTATTGCTGACACTAAACGTAAATATTTTTGATTAACAAAGCTATCTTTAACCTACTAGCGCAGACTTGGTAACCCAGTAGCTACACTCGGGCAAATTGCTAAATACAGTTTTCAAACGCCGTCGCAGCGGTACATCGGCGCGTACTCCGTACAGGGTCGGACATTGGTTCGATTTTTTGTAAGCACGAATATATATTAAGTAAAAAACCTATATAATGTGAAGGACCGATAAAATGTCCACCAGTTGACTAGTTAGGCTACTGTGTACACAGTTCACTCCGCGCTTGCTACAAGTGAGAATGAAGTGAACGACAGCTAATTCCAAGTTAACGTCTTGTAGGAAAAGCTAAAGTCATATAAAATCTACATAATATCAAAAAACAAAACGACATAGTCTCGTAATACCCCTGCCGAAACGGGTTGATCAACAACTGATGTAGGAAAAATGTATGCGACTTATTATGTTTAACACGTGCCAAATATCACTGAGATCAGCAAGTTACAACCATTTACCTCATACATCTCCCAATCTAAAATTTGTATCCCCCCAAACAATGCCAGGAAATGAGCAGGAATATCTGAAACGTTGTAAGACCAGTAATTTTATTTTTGCCGCCTCTGAATCAATTTTCAAAATCTACGACTACCTAAACGATGGCAGTATCAAACTCGTCTTAGTATTCGATCTTCGGTTTACAAGCTTTCTGATGCTTGAGGATACCTGCTTCACACAAGTTCGTGTTACTCATTTATGTCGGTGTGTCATTCCGTGTCTGTTGTATATCAATGCGTAATAAGTACTGAGTCACTCTACTTGACGAAACATTCAGAGAACTATTAACATAAATTAAGGGTTATGCGGAATAGGTGGGTACATGTAAAGATCGTCAAATTCAGAAAAAGATATGTATAGATATTAAAACATAAGCCATCATTTACAAAAGCATCGCAGAACCCTAAAATGGCATACTGCTA